AAATAAATGAAATTAAATACATAAAAATACCTCAATTCCATGTAATTCATAAAAACACTTGAAATATATAAAAAATTTTAATTACTAATATATATAAACAATTATATTTAATATATTTACTTTATAAACACAATCTTATATAAAACATTACATAATACATATAATTTAATAGACATTTCCAAATAAATGAAATTAAATACATAAAAATACCTCAATTCCATGTAATTCATAAAAACACTTGAAATATATAAAAAATTTTAATTACTAATATATATGAGAGTTTATTGATAAAGAAAAATATAAATAAAATTGAAAATTAAATTACCAATAAATTGGAATGAATAGTACTTCTTATTTTAAGTAACATATTAAAGGAAGAGGAAGAGGAAAAGGAGAGAAGAGGAAAGGGAAGATTAAGATGAGGATGTAAAATACATGAGTGGAGTAAAGGAAGAGACGAGAAACAAAGAAAGTGAATTCGAATAAAGGATGAGGAATATGAAAGAGAAGAAAGAAGAAGATGGGAGAAAATGCTGAGGAAAGGAAGGTTGGAGGTTTATATAGATAAACATTATTTTCCATGGTTTAGCACTGGAAAATAATGTGACTAGGATTTTGAAAATTTTACAAGGAAAAAATGACAGTTGAATGTTGGGTTTTAAATTTCAGATAAAATTATTTTCCAACGCTAAGCCATGAAAAATAATATAGGTGGCATTTTGAATAATAGGATCTAGCAAAGATCTCATTGTTGATTGGAAATACACCTTGAGGGCTTTCCAATGATTGCTCACCTCCTCTCCAATCCAATCCTGTAAAAGTATTACCCGATAGATAAGACTGGTTACTGTCAATAATGGATAAAACTTGATAGCCATCCTCACAATCCATAGCACTGCAATTGAATCTCTCATATCCTCCATTTGGGAGAAAGGTGAGAAAGAACTGGTAGCATAAGTTGTTATTATGATGAATTGATTCTACATGATGCAAAATAAAAATCTGTTCCCCAGTACAAGTTGGTGTAGAATTCAAAAATAATTCGTTGATAAAATGTATTAGTCAAAGGTCAATAGTTTTAGTGGAGACATTGATTAGTATTGGAATGTGAATTGGTTCTTCCTTGGTGGGACTTGTGCGGTGTAAAATAATCGTCTGTTTCCCAGTGCAAGCTGGTGTAGAATTCAAAAGTAATTCGTTGATAATATGTATTAGTCAAAGGTCAACGGTTTTAGTGGAGACATTGATTAGTATTGGAACGTGAATTGGTTCTTCCTTGGTGGGACTTGTGCGGTGGACCTTCCATGAACTTGCATTAGTACTACTATTGGTATTGAAATTTGGCGTGGATCTTCAAAGTCAAGTCGTCATTTGCCGCGCTTTTGGGTCATTTGACGTGGGGAGTGGGCACTTCTGTTCACTTCGATTAGCATTGGCATTTGATCGTCACTTTCCTTACTAGCCATGTTCATTTTCTTCTCATTTGAATGTTGTCCATAAGTGGATGCTTTTGCAAATATATTTTTTTTAATTTATAAATTCTTTTTAATGAAAAGAATTTATAACTTTATGGCATAAATTAAGAGTATATTATATAATAAGCTAAATAGTTAGATCCATTAGATTCATTAACAAATAAGTATCATCTTATAGATCATTTTCAGAATTCAAGTCTTCAAATTAACATTGAAGAATATTATTTTTTTTAAATATACCAAGCTAACATGAGTGAATCATGTCCTTATAATTGCTTGGAAAAAGATTAATTTTAAAATACACAAAAGCAAATGCCTAATTAGTTTTATATAAGTGAACAATATTTTTAAAACTAATACTATTTAAATAATTTTAATTAAACATTTGATAAAATTAAAGGGACAAGGGATTTAATCAAAATTTTATTTTAAAATTTGATATAAAAAATTATTATTCTTACACTATGGGATAACCCACCCTTGTCAAATCCCTCCTCTACCTTAGGATTTGAGAAAAAGACCTTCAACATAAATGCTCAAATTTCACCAAAAAAATAAACAAATAAATAAATGATAAAATGTTCATGTTCTTAACCACTAAAACATCTACCAAAGATGTTGCGTGATTCATCTATGTGTGCATGATTGATTCATGTCAAAATGACCAATTAAAGGTGTCAAAATTACCAATAAAAGTTTTCAAAATTGTCATGTCCTGTCCGCACATTATCAAATATTAGCCCTTTCCTCCCACAAGTTGCAAACTTAATGCATTAGGTTAGGAGGCATTCAGATCAATATGCTCCAACTTGGCTATATCCTCTTTTGTTATGCAAAAGGCCTAAATATTTTCTCCTGGAGGCAACTCTGCAAGCTTCGGAGGGGTTCCAATATGTACTCTTTCCTTGTCAAATCGGACTTCAATATTACGGATGCTGTAACCGACCACTATGAGCCAGTAAAGAAGCTTGGCAAGTTCTGAGGCACTAGTCTCTGTTACACTTTTCTGCAACGCATTAAAAACGAAGTTAAGAACAAGAAATCAAATGTCAAATAAAATGGCATGATTATTATATCTCAGAAGATGATGAATTTCTTCATGCATAGAACCAAGTTATTTCCAAGAAAGTATTGTTTTTAGTCCAGACTAGAATAAATGACTGGAAAAGAATAATGTTATTGCAATAACATTATTCTCGTGGTCACACATTGGTCTCTTAATTTGTCATTTCAGTCCAGACTGGCAGTTTTACTGAAAAACAGTATTCTCCTCAATTTCCAATGTGTGTATGCATGGAGTATGGTTTTAGCCACAAATTCAAGAAAATGATCTTATTTTGAAAAACCTTTAGATAATTGTTGATAATATGGGAAAATAATGAAAATTTAAACCTTAATGTCAAGAGTATATGGAACAAAAAAATGAAGAAAAGAAGAAAAAACAGTAAATATGATGATGATGATAAATGACAAACCTTCATTTGGCTAGGATCAGAAACAGCCAGAAGACGCTTGATGAATGTGTTCATTGCAAGCACAACATCCTCATCAGCAATACTAGTCAACTCCTAGAACAACAAATAATACAAGTTCAAAATTTCAATTTCATAACCTTACGACACGCCCCCACCACAGTTAATGAAGGACATTCAGGGAAGCAGAAAAACTTGACTCTACCGTCAAGTGCCAACTACAGACAACAAAGGTGATCGAGATATAACACGAAATTAATAAGTAAATAGCTTCATTTACCTTCAGATTTTGTGGCTGGAGAGACTTGAGATATTCCAATAGCTCATTTTGTCCATTTGCAGTTTTTCTACCAACTTGACGATTTAGTTCCTCAGTCTCTGCTTCTAGAAACTCAATATACATTTTAGCATCTATTCTCTCAGGACCAGAGACATTATTCCACCTGCTAACTTCACCAGATACATTATTGGTTAAATGCTAAATTTAGTCCCTCAACTTTAGTGAGTTGCACATTTTTTGTCCCTCAATAATTTTTTGCACTTTTTTTGATCCCTCAACTCTAAAAAATACACACGGTTAGTCTTTCTGTCAATTTAAACAGTTAACTCTGTCATGTGGCATTTTTTATATTTTTTTATGACATGGCGAAAACAACTTAAAAAAGTGTTGATCTGTAATTTTTTTTATGACACATCAACACCAACTCACAAACCAAATTTGATTAGTATTTATATTTTTAATAAAAAAATAAAAAAAATTCAATCCATCTTCTTCCTTTCTTTTTCTTATTCTTCCTCTGCTTCCTCTGTGTTGCTGGGTTCCCTTAAACCCAACTAATCTGGGTTCAAGGGAACCCAACTCAGGTTTGATGGAACCCATCTGTTGGGTTCCACTGAACCCAAATCTACTGGGTTCGACAGAACCCAACTCGGGTTCGATGGAACCCATTTGCTGGGTTTGGTGAACCCAGCTCCACTTTTTTTTTTTTTGTTATATGTTTGTTTGCGAAGAGATTATATAAATTGCATGTTGTAAGGGATTTTTGGGATCCTTTTCTTCATATTTCGTAAGTATTGTCTAAATAATTTCAATGTTCAAAATGAAAAGAACATCGCCAGCGATGGAAAGAACAGAAGCAGTGACCAATGGGCAAAAAAGCAACTCTCAGTGGGTTTTCATTTGTTTGGCTAGAAAATTGTATAGTTAAAAAATATCACATAATTTGCCATGTCATCAAAAGACATCTTTCTTTATTGGTGATGTAGGGCCCATTTGAGTAGATTTGACGTCTTTAAGTCACGGTAACATAACATGGTAAAACGTTTTGTCCATATTATCACTTTTTTGAATTTTACTCTTCACATCATCAAAAAAAATATAAAAAATACCACATAAATAGAGTTAACGGCCCAAATTAATGGAAAGACTAACGGTGTGCATTTCTTAAAGTTGAAAGATAAAAAAAGTATAAAAAATTATTGAGGGATAAAAAATGTGCATTTCTTAAAGTTAAGAGTCCAAATTTAACATTTAACCTACATTATTTTGTGTGCCTGGTGCATAATCTGACGGTTCCTAACAAGATGGGATCCATTTAGCATGAGTAAAATAACATATACAATATAGTGTTGCCTACCATGTAGGTACTGCACTCATCATTATGAAAAATAAACATTGACCAGTAACTCACAAGAGGAGGAACGCATTGACAAAATTCCAAAATGGAGAATAAGTTTTTTTTTTTTCCCCATAAAAATACAATATGCAGCCAATTTTAGTAAACCAACAATGGTAATACTAACGTAGATATGTTATGAGAACAATTTCTTAATTGGTGCTTGTTTAATACATAAAAAAGGCACGAACGAACAATATAATTACCCTTAAACCTAAATACCGCCAACCAAAATAACTGAATTAAAACCCATTGTTTGCGGCCGGTAGTTACGTTTCCAGTGGATACTCTGCCATGGCAGGGTCTCGAGTTCAAATCAACAAAGCTTACAAATCCCGTTTCTCCTGCAAATCATCGCGCAACCTTCACAAGACCTCCCTCAATGGTCCTCTACTTTAATCTAACATCACTAATTCCATGGATTTAGTTCAATTTTTCTTCCATTTTAACGGAGGTTCTCGCGAAGAAGCTTATTGAGTTTGATTTTTGATATTTTGGTTATTCAGATAAGAGTCGGATTGCGAAATCAGAGCGTAATGCGACGACGAAAGGAGCTCGTGAAGCTCGACATCAGCGTAGCAAGATGGTGAATGATGATGAATTTGTATTGTTTCTCATTCTTGATTTACATTTTTGCGGTTTTCTTACATAAAATGTGCAATTTGAGTAGCTGCGAGAGCAAAAACGGGCTGCTCTTTTGAAAGAGTAAAGAACTTCATCATCCAGCCCTCCTCGTGTTATTGTGAGCATTTGTATATAAAAAAAACAACCTCATTTTTCTTCTTCATTGTTAGTTTTTAGTTTTTTTTTAATCAATTTTGTGATTTCTCTTATGACAGGTTCTTTTCCCACATTCTGCTTCTGTGAAACTGAATTCACTTGCGGAAGATATTTTAAAGTTATTATCTACAGAAGGTATAGGATATGCGTCCTCCACCGTTGCTTCTTCAGAGTACAGACTCAGAGTGATGGTAGGCTTTTGGCGTTGTCAACTATGTTTGTGTTACTAGTGAGGGATTCCCTCTTCATATGCCAACTACACGAGCTTAATGCATGCTCTTAGTCTTAGGTTAAATTTAGCCAAAATCTAACTGATATTTTGTGTTTTAGGTACTACAAGCTCCTTGTCGGGATCTATTATCATGTATGGAAATGGCCAAGGTATAAATTTGTTCACCTTTTGTTTATTTTGTCTGGAAGCAACTCAAGTTTGCAGTTTGATTTCTCAGCTATCACAGCTGACAACCATTTTGGATTGTAGGTTGCTGATTTGATTGCTTTTGTGGCATCAGCAAACTCTTTATGTGTAGAAGGTGCATCTGACCTTTTTGATTCATTTGGAAATCAATGCCTTTCCGTATTTAGGTCTATTGCTCTACCCAGTACTGCTGTTTAAATTCGTGTAAGTTCTCAGTTGATTTGTTAAGAGGACTTGTAGCATTTCCCATGGAAAAAGTTGTGACATGTGTTTAAAAATTTGTCTCCAGGATCTACCTTCTGAGCTTAAACAGAGAAATGAGTTAAAAAATTGTGTACTTCTAGCATTGCTTCTGAATTTCCTGAGGATTGCTAGTTCTATTCAGCAGACACAAGGGGTGACTTGCACAAGGTGGGTTTCTTTGTTGATTCTTATTCTTGTTTACTACCTCATGCTCCAACATATCTGAGAATTAGACATGTCTAATTTGTATAGCTTGATTATTCCTATTTTCTAGCACTTTTCGTTGTTTACATTTACATTTGTATCACAGTTTATGTGGCTTTTTAAGGAACAAAGGCTCACAGCACCTCACTGGCAAAATCAGCGTCCTTACCTCATTGCACAAGAGGTAGTTTTCCAATTGTTTTTAACTTTTATCTTTTAGCCTTGTAGCCTATTGTGCTATATGTAGTGTATGATGGACACAATGTGAAAGGGTTGGAGGGTTGTTTAACTCTATGAAAAAGAGCAGATGAGTAACATGTTGATATTGGGATTACTTGGTGTTAATTCCATTTACGTTGCTATTAATTTCCTTTTGGTTATTTACCTGGACACCCTCTGAAGTTTAATTCCATTTACCTCTACATTTTATGTTGTTACAGTACCTGATGATTCCAGTCCAGGAAAGAGTACTCTCCTTCTCACTGGTTATATGCGTGCACACAGCCTCTCAGTGATTCAGTTGGTAATTAGTTTAGCCTTACACTTTCATTTTCTCCGGGATGATCTGGTAAGTTGTGTCATGCTTTTCTTTTGCTTCATGTCAGGTCCATGTTTCTGGTGCGAGGGATTTTCAGCTGTCCAAAATTGAAATTCTAAAAGATCCATCTCCTCTGAATGCAAGAAAAGAACAGGATGCTATGGATTCTGATGAATTAAATGATGCTAAGGTTTTTGATCATTTCCTTTAGTATGAGCAAAGGAATTGAAACTTTGGGTTTGATCATGACCAATAAATTCTGCTCCTCGCCTTCAGCTGCTTCATATTTCCTACAGAATGTTCTCAATAGCTTTGGGCCTTGAATTTATGTGTTATTAATTCTTTTCCTTGTAACCCATATACTGTTTCTACCTTATCAATGGACATGACATCAGACAATATTTCAATCTTTTTCCTTGATATTTACAGTGATTTAGTGATGATGAAGCTCTTATTAATATCTTCTTCAGTCTTCTTTCTCCTGAACAGACATGGCCAACAGAATCAGAAATGGCTGAGGCTGATAGAAACCTAAAACAAAAAAAGCAAAGAAAGAGAATTCTTCCACATGGCACTTCTGAATATCAGGTTGGGATGTCCAAGACCAAGCTTCCTTAAACTTAAGGGACTCAGATGATGGAACTGAAAATGATTCAGTCATGATGGTATGGCACATGGTTGCATTAGTTCTATACACCCTTAGCATAAAGAGTCTTTAGTAATGTTAACTTCGTTTAGTGCATGTCATGTAAAGTTTTTTGTTACCACTCCCGTGGCCTGCACCAAACAGTGCCTTACATGTAGTTCTAGCCATCAGCTGCTGACCTGGTTCATTTCGGCCCTTTCTTTTTTCTTGGCACTTGTACAAACCGCTAACTTGATTTCTTGCATTCAAAATTATTTGCAATTCTCATGCTCACAGCTAGTTATAGCACCAAAATCCACCCGTGACTTGCTCATTAAAGATCAAACTCAGCAATGTCCATCCCAAATCCTAGTGTGATGTGGATGATCCATGGAATCCATTGCCTTTTACACATTTGTGCTAAGAAAGGGTCTCATCTTTCTTTTAATATATGTGTTTTGCCCTTTTGTTTCCTCTTGTTGTTGTTATTATTTTATCTTGTTTGTTTGGAAGAAATAAACAATATGTAATCTCTCAGCTTTCAAAAAGCACTCCACAATGCATGACGTAATAAGTATATTTTTTAGATGTCTCTATGTAAACTTTTCTTTTTCCACACAGGAAGGAGAGAACCTGACAAGAGAACAATTGGAGCAAGACATTCAAAAAATTAAACAGGCGCATGCTGAAGATGAGGGTATCTCTCTATTTAAGACATTGTACAATTTCATGGGTTATCAAAAAGAAATGACTTTATTTGTTATCAACATTTTTAGCGACTGTATAATCTTACATAAATTTAGTTGTTGCTGGGAGTTGGCATGTTAGAATCCATGATGGATTGATTTGGCCCATTTACTGGCATCTGCAGCCTTGGGAAGCTCTAAAGTAACATTGCAAGAAAGCAAAAATTAATTCAATCTTCTTTTTACTCAAAAACACCAGCTTTTTCTCTTCAGTATTTTTAGATCATTAAGTCAGTATGGTAGAACCAAGCTTTTCCTTTTATCTATATACTAGTTAATACCCCGGGCAATGCTCGGGCCCTTGAAATTAAAAAAATAAAATAAAAATTTAATATTAAAAGGAAATTAGTAGTGAAAGGATACATCATTATTTAAAAGAAAAATATAACAGTGAGTTTTAGGAAATTTAATCTCAATTATGTCAATTCCACAATATATGCATATTTAACTGCTTGGGGATACAATCAAAAACAACAAAATACTTGTGATGTTGTGTCTTATTATAGCCATAGTATCCGCTGCCATATATGATTCACGAATAACATGGATGATGCAACCTCACTATAAGGAATTTGCCATAGGAGGTTTTTGCAATCAAATTTCAACTTGAAGAAATGAGAATTGTCTCATGTTACATAACACATTATCAAATGTGTTTTGCAAGAATATATTTACAAAAAACAATGGAAACTAAATCAATACCTCAAAAGTATATTGTAATGAAATTCACCCACAATGAGGCCAGCCTAGCAATTAAATTGACAGCAAAAGTTATGAAGCCTGTAGCAAAGCTCAAATAAAAGTACAGTTAAGTAGGTAGAATAGAATTAATAGTAAGGAAACTTTCTTTAAGAGATCTCTTTATACTAATTCAAAAATTAAAGAAGCATTTCTTGTCATTATCCAATCTATCTTTCTATGCAAAGTGCTGTTCTTGTTAAGTATCTTTTAGACCATGTTCAAACTTCCTTCACCAATAC